GGTGGTGTTTTGTTTTGTGTGCCGTGCCCCTGTGAAAGGTCAGAGTTCGTGACCTCGCCCGCCGCTGCTGCCGCCCGAGAGCGTCTCCCCGCTTCCTCTTCCCAGCACCAGGCCGGCCGCGGCCCCCTCCATCCCCCTCGCGGGGCGGGGCTGGGGACGGCGGCGGGGGAGGGGCTACCTGAGCCGCTCCCAGCCTCCCTGCCCACGCTCGCGCCGGCAGCGCGCGCCGCCGGCCCGCTCCCTCCGGCTGCGCCCGCAGCGGCGGTGTCCCCTGCGCACGTAGGAGGCGGCCCCGGGCCCGGAGGCCTGTGCGGGGCTGTCGTTGCGCCCCGGCGGGAGGGGGCGCTGGGCAGGCACCTGAGCCCGGAGGAGCCCAGCCCTTGCCCAGGCTCCCCCTTGCGAAGCCGTGGGGGGAAGATGCTGCCCCTCTCCACAGGCAGCCCCTGATAGCCCTCGCTCGCGAGGCTCCTCTGCAGCCTGAATTAATTGGTTGGAGGTGGTTGTTATGTGCACAGGTGGGTGCTGATGTTCCGTGTCTATCTGGGTTCCTACTAAAGATGCAGGGTCAAAGGTAGGCTTGCAGTTTATGGCGGCTTTCACAAAGGCCACTGCCAGACAGTCCTGAGTTCTTCCTTAATTTTGTAAAGTTGGTGTCACTGATTAGGGCTCTCCCGGCAGAGCTGGCTGTAAGTGAGGCATGTTCTGCCTCTGAAGGGGCTATTGTAGGCATGAGCCAGGTTTGGGTGCAGCCAAGGTGGTTTAAGAGCTTGCCACCTTTCAGTGCTTGTCATTGCTTTCTGAGGGTAGCATACATTGACTGGTGACCCTGATTCACTGTTGTAACTGTGTGTAGCCATTTCTTAACTACCCCTATCAAAATGGTCTTAATACTTACTTCCAGTAAGTTTCTCTTAAGTCTGGACAGAAGCTAACTTGAGGAGTGGTCAGTTGAACAGTAAAACTGGAAGATATGAAGTGATAGTAGCTCCTGAAAGGAAATGTATGGAAGAGAGAGCAGCTGAAGACAATAATCACTTAAACAGGAGGTGCTGTTGTCTGAGAGGTTCACAGTCAGCCCCCTGATTTTTTGGGGTTGTTTTTTTTTTTTTGTTAAAACTGGCTATTTGTGGCAAGACATGAGAAATTAAGAGCTATGTCTATGAATTACAGCCTTACTGTCACAAAACTGCAGTTAATAATATTAAAGCACATGATGTACAGATGTGTTTGCAACACAAATGAAAATGTTTCAAAAAATGTCTTGGGTGTTTGTTCACTACTGTAATGTTAAATATATGATGAATTTTAAAATTCTCAAAATATGGACATGCACATACCTTCAAAAGCAGATAGTTTTGGTGTGGGTTTTTTTGGTTTTGTTTTTTTTACTTCATAAAACATACTACTAAAATGTAAATACATTTTTGTAACAGATACCTTTCAGGATTTTCAAAATTCTCATAATAGCCTTACTGTAGAAGTAGGTTAGATGTTAGGGTAGGAATATGTTTCCCTTGTTATAAATCAAGTATGATGACTTGATGGAGCAGCATCTATGAGCACTGCGTGTTTTTTAAATAGAGGATTTGGCAAGAAAGCCCAAGTTTTTTAAAGTGAAGTACACTTAAGGGAATAAATGCTATTAGTCTGGCTTTAAACTGTGAGATGTGCATCTGTTGGATCACTGCTGTAAGCAAATTTAAACTGAATCTTTAGTTTTGTCCTTTATTTGCTATCCTAAAATGTTTTCATCAGAATATTAGTCAATTTTTTATCTTTTAATTATTTTTTCACACCAGCTGTGTTCATGGTTGGGTAGAAAAGTATTTCAATCTTATGGTGAGAAAATTCTCTGACAAGGCCTAGTATTTCTTGCCAATGGTTATGTTCAGTTGTGCACTCTTCGGTGATAGTCACTTGCTGAGTAAGCTAGAGGAGAATCCCACCATGAATAAATATGCTTTTGATTTTTAGAGTTATCTTTATGAGCAGGAACATCAAAATATATGGAATGGAGAGGAAGTAGACTAGGATGCCTTCAGTTAAATTTCTGCTTTGTATAGAAATCTTTATAGTGATGACTGTTTTGAGCTCTTCAGTGAAATAGTGTGTTATTTTTCCTTAATAATAGAATATATTTTAAATTCATTTGCTTCTGCTCACTAGCAAATTCTCTTGCTCACACCTCTTAACAGAGAGGTCCAGCATTTCTGTAGCTTTTGACT